TGCTAAAGCTCTAGAGTGAGTTTCAAAAACTTAAAAGTCTTAAAAGGAGGCAGGGAGCAAGAAGCTAGGGTTGGAGTCTGTGGTTTGCAACAAAGACAATTGAAAAAGGACTCTTTATTTTTCTTCCATCCAGCCTTGTCCCTTTGCTACCATTATCCCTTTCTTTCTTGGCAAAATAAAGAATTTGGAGGGGAATGAGCAAGCAGCCAAATGAAAACAGTGGGGCAAATAAAAACATTTAGCGGTATGGAGAAACCATGAAGCCAGTTCATATACATTTCATTTAAAGCCATTAGCAGTAGGTTAGAATACTGTAGGGGCTCTGAAACTTTCAACCTCCAGGGTGCACTTAAAGGATTCAAAATCATTGAGACCCCAGTCTCAAAACAATGGCCAGGGCAGAACCCATCCAGAATGAATCACTGAATCTCATAGATTATGTTTATACCCTTCCCCATGCTTGTAATTCTATTGTTCCTCTTCCTCCCATACCTGTACCCTCCATTTTCCATGGGCTTTCTTACTTTAGCCCTTCTGTTCCTTTATTACTTTGTCTTAGAACAGCTTCCCTTATAATAACTTCCCTCTCTTTTCTCTCTTTTTTAACCACCAGAACCCATACAGTATTTTAACTAACTGCTAATTGCTTCAAACAAAATGTATAAGAACTGATTTCATGACTTCTCCATACTGCTAAACATTTCTGACTTCTTTTAGTATCACCTTTACTTCATAACTCTTCTTTATTACCATTCCAGCTTCATACTCCTTAATTTTTCTTAATTTTTCATTGAGGAATTTTCTGGGACCCGTTTCTTGCACTCAAACAAGGACCGGGATGCCAATACATGTTGCTTGGAAATAGAAGTGTTTGCAATGTCAGATTTTTTGAGATTTTGGAATTTGTGTATGTGTATGTAGTAAGCTATTTTGGAAAAGAGACTCAAGTCTAAACACAACATTCATGTTTCATAGAATAATTATTATTATTATTATTATTTATTTATTTATTTATTTATATCCCGCTACCATCTCCCCAAGGGACTCGGTGCGGCTTACATGAGGCCGAGCCCACAATACATCAATAATAAAAACAATAACAACAAGTAATACAAAACAATAAAAATAAAACTCATAACAGAAAATAAACAATAAACATTAACAGTAACACAATGACATTTAAAAACCTATGGCTGGGCCAAATGTAAAAATTTAAATTTAAAAATAATGCTGAGCATGAACAGGTGAAATATGACTAGGATAGAGTTATATATATATACCTCATATATGAAGGTAATATCATACATTATTTGTAATTTGTGCATGAAACAAGGTTTCTGTATGTTTAAACATTAGAAAGCAAAGGTGTCACTATCTCTGCCACCCATGTGGACAATTTCAGATTTGCGACACTCAGCCTATATTTCCCATTTTCGTGGTGTTCCCGGGACTAGAGCTAGTAATAGGTAAAAGAGAGAACAGAATACTTGGCTAAACACGTGTTCCATGCTTTAAGCATATGACTCAGAGTACAATTTGTGTATATCTACTCATAAATAAGGCACACTAAGCTTGGTAGGAGAGGTTCTCAGGAAGGGAATCAAGGATTGTAATTTAGTTGTATCTAGATTTGAGACTATGTAAAATTATCATCCACATTCGTGCATCTGAGCATATTTTTACATCTGTATGGAATAGCTGCCTCATGCTTGTTTAGACTAGGCTCATAAACACATATGAAGGAGGGCAAAGATTTGACGGGCGTAGAATACTGCCCATCTTTCTCAAATCTTTCCCATCGCCCCAGAATACAACTTTGGGGGGGGGGGGGTCTTGCACTTCTTCATAGACTTTTCCCCCACTTCACCACAATTCCTTCTCTTCTCTCACATACAAACATACTGCCCACACTTCCTGCCATCAAGACTTGAGAAACACGTAGCTAATGTTTTGTATAGTGGCAGGAGAGCAAATAATCAGATATATCTTGAATTAACAGAATAGAATGACAGGTTCTACCACAGTAGTTGATTGTGTTGTGATTCTTTAGGTAATAGTTTATAAGAGATAAACTACTGATGCTACTTGTTATTGGGATGAAAATAAGCAGTTAGTTGCCATAAATGTCATTGACTAAAGTTGTCTTCTCACTGCTCTTGCACCAGCATTAAGGGACTACTTTCTCTGAGAATAAAATCTGAGTATTGAATTGGTTCTGTTACTCTCCAGCAAAGTGGATACCTTATCATAAAACATTATATGAAAGGGAGGGAATAAGGTTTATTTAATTGAGGGAATATGTTTTATATAGGAAATGCAAACATTGAGAAAATGGTGTGGCATTTCCATCAGGAAAAGGAAACCTCCCAGTACAAACCCTTCCTGATCTTTGCTCTGCATTAATTTTCTTTAGCTGTTGCAAAATCGGAGCCTTCCTAAGCCCCTTTTCATTGTTAATTGAGGACTATAATAAGATTCAATGGTATATCACGAAGGTTAATATTTTAAGATGGTAGCAAACAACCAACACCATTTACAAAGTAATTGTGTTTCAGTAGCTGAATTCGGAGCATTGAAAGCAGCACTTTAAGTATACTCAGTGTAAATTCTCTTCATTCTTACCATTGCATTTTTCTGCTTTACTTGAGAGAGGTTGACCCTGTTGAAAAATCTGGGATGTTGTCATCGAACCAGCATTTGAAAAGCAATGCTGCAATTGCAAGTGGCAAGGTCATCATTTGAGCAGCTTGTTGGTTCTGCCTACCAACAGTTGTTTGAGGTGAAACACAGCTCTACAAGATTTCTACCTACAACCTTCTCCTTTTACTTCTTCCTTTTCCCTCTTAGACTGCAGTCATGTTTAATTTGGAAACTGGGCTCCTTTGGCAAATTAGCAATTAGAACAATTTTGTGGGAATATGTATATGTGTCATTAGTTTTCCTGCAAATTAATAGCAAGAGCAGAGGTCAGGCAGAAATTTTCCACTTGACTGCTGCTCCTCTGTCAAGATTTGGCACTTTGTTTTGGAACGGCCACAGCTGCTCAAAGCCACAGCCTTCCTCGAGGAACTGTCTTTTAATTAGTTTACCTCATAGCCATTATTACAAATATTACTGCCTCCCCCCCCCCCCGAAATAAAATTACTGTTTCTACAAAATATTCCAGTGACATCTTGCACCATTGCACATTGATGGTGGGGTCATTCAAATGCGGCGTTTAATCATTAGATCACCTCCATAAGCATCTCCTAATTAGAGTCCTTACAATACAATTTTATCTGGTAATTAGCTGAGATTGGCTGCTTCCTCTGTAGCTTATTAGTGGCAGCCCAGCAGTGGGTGTGAATCGCAGTGTCATTTGTCAAGCCTGTTAAAGGCAGGGCCCCCTCCTTTGCTCTTCCTCACTTTCTGTTTTTATTTCTAGTTGTGCTACCTACTCAGAAAACCCTAAAGAAATTTAACTCAATTCAAATTATTTAACTGAGGAACATTGACCTTTGGGCTTCTCTTCCCCCTTCCCCCACAAGCTTCCGAGTAGAAGCAGATTAAATGTTTAAGCTTTTAAACAGTAAAAACAGAACTGGACTTGTTTGAAATTGAGTGGTTTGAACAGTAATGATGAAACAGTATCCATGCTCTTTCCAGCACCAGAGCCAATCTACAGAGCTTATGCGGTAGAACAGCATTGGAAATTGATTCGGTTCTGCTTGTGCTGCTTAAAAATGCCCACCTGAAGAGCAGGGATGAAATTGAGTAGGTTTAATTTCTTAGTCAGACTTCACCGAGCATTGTTGGTTGTTTTTATTGTTGTTGCTGTCCTTTTAATTTTATTGCATGAATGGAAAAATGGATTCTGACATAATTGCTGCAATTGCACATTATTCCTGTGCAGAAGCGCTTGATAAAGTATCAGCACTTCCTGTTTTGCATAACCTAATATCCAAAAGCACATGCCTTGTGTTTTGAAGTGAGAGCACATTAACAGTTAAATCCTAAGTCTTTGATGGTCTATTTGGCCACTAAGTATTTCCTTTGGGACCAAAATCTTCATGTACTCAGCTAGAGTAAAAACTGGTTAGATCAGATGAAGGATACAACTTTGATTTCCATTAGACTACATTACTGGTCAATTTTACCATCCCTTCTCCTTTACCATCTGTTATATGTGGGGCACATGGGAACTGTTTTCTTTCCCGGAATCCTTTCATACTACCATATTTACTTGACTGCAATGGGCACCTTTTTTGGTTAAATTGGTGGCATTAGAATCACACCTACACCTGCCCTTCTCCTTCCAATGTCCCACTAAATCCAGACACTCCTCTCCTCTTTTTTGCCAAACTAGACAGCCTTTGCAAGTCAACAAACTCACTAAATGCCCAGACTTCAACATAAGGTTCAGGAAAAAACATGGTCTATTATAGAAAAAACAATTCTCTTTGTGAAAAACCTTTTTGTCCACTTCTAAAAAGATGTCTTTTGTTCAAAGAACCTTTGTGTATTCTTATATGAAACTCCCAGAATATGAAATATCATCAAAAGTGCATAAACACCCTACCTTTGTAAAGATATTTTAATATTGTTGTTGTATGCCTTCAAGACATTTCTGACTTATGAAGATTCTAGGGCACACATGTCAAACGCAAGACCCACTTGCCCAAGGTCACTCAAGAATTACCATGAATTCTAACCTCCAGAATTGTAGTCCAGTGCTCAAACCATCACACTGTACTTTGTATAAAACTAATACTTAAACATTTACCAATATAATTTTTGTAAACCTTATATTGAAGGCTTGATCTCATATGGCACATATGATGGAGAGGGGGAGCCAAAACTGAGATCTAAGATCTAAGGTAGCATCTTGGACAAAGTCATTGATCAAGCATTGTTAGAACCAAAGACCTCCTGGTTTGCCGTTTGCAATCTTAATATGTGTACATGACAAAAAGTATGAGGGTTTTTAAAAATGAAATTTACTCCTTTTGCTGTTTCCATAGCTAAACCTTGTATCTAGTGTCACACTTTCAAAGACAGCGTCAGAGGCATCTCCACAGAGCTTACCTCATACTCCCACCACCCCAACAGCACCCATCACTCCTGTTTCCCAAGGACCTTCTGTCATCACTACTACCAGCATGCACAACGTTGGGCCTATCCGGAGGCGATACTCTGACAAGTACAATGTACCCATTTCTTCAGGTAAATAGATGGATGTAAGAAGAGACTGTTACATTCTTCTGATTTACTTACTACTTTTGAACTATAGACTGTTATAACATGAAAACCTATATCCTTTATTTAGCAGATCTCGCGCAGAATCAAGAATTCTACAAGAATGCGGAAGTTAGGCCACCCTTTACATACGCATCTTTAATTAGGCAGGTAAGTGAATTCATACAAAATAGAATCCTAGGATTTATGCTGTATTGTGTTATGCTATAGATGGTACAGTTTGAGAGCCGGTTTGCATGCAGGCATGATGAAATCTCTGCCATAGGTTTTTTTTTTCTTCTCCTCTTCACAACTGCAATACATATACCATAATTGCTTTTGATTAAGTATTACAATACAATGTGATTATTAGGAAATTCATTTCACACAACAGTGAAAATGAGCCTGTTTAAAGATGGCAAGTCAATTATCACAAGCTACAGTAATCTCTGATCCCTAGAATTAATCTGAGCTCAAAATAATTACTAAGCTTTAATCAGCTAGTGAAATGTTTTGCATTTCTCTTTGATTCTGCTTTATGAATGACTAATAAATTAATATTTCTGTAAGGAAACAGAAATAAAACTCAAAACAATTAGATAATTCCATTTTGAATTTTGCCATTGAGCTATTAAATACAACCATTAATCTTAGATCGTAGTGCAAAGCCTTCTTTTGGGTTTTGTGCTCCAAGTCAGATTTTATTTTATTTATTCAAACAAATGTGCAAATGTGTTTTTCTACTCATTTAATTCTTAGATCACTGTTGCTTTTCAATTGCTTTACAGGCCATTCTGGAATCTCCAGAAAAGCAGCTAACACTAAACGAAATCTACAACTGGTTCACACGAATGTTTGCTTACTTCAGGCGCAATGCAGCAACATGGAAGGTATGACTTATTGCCATATATATTTCTTGTTTTCCTATTACACATGTACAAAATAGACCGCGCTGCGGACATAACTAGTTGTAGTGGTGTATGGACTTTGAAATTTCAATCAGTTGTTTTGACACACAACGGGTGCCTCTTATCTGCACAAACAACTTGCTGGTTGGCAAAAGAATTCTTCCGCCTTTGAAATATCGCTAATTTAAATACCCATTACTGTTTCTTTTCCTTTCCATGTTTTGTGATTAAACCACAGTGGCTCCTAGCACTGAAATATTTCAACTGCTAAGAGACAGGGGAAGGGTGGGGAAGAAGCTTTATCAGATGGTGGCTTTATGTATACATTCTTTTAGCTGGAAATTGCAAACTCCTGTTCCAAAGATTCATAGAAATCTAGCTTTTCAGCCAGCTGATACACCTGCCTTAAATTAACATGCCAACTTCTCAAAACATTCACTAGTGTATTATGAAACACAATACAGGTTAATTGGGCACAGCAGTAAAGACGCAAGCCAATAAAAATATTAAATCTTGCAATTTAACAAAATACCCCTGGTGCTTTAAATTTCAATAGTTTGGCTCTGTTTAGTTAATTTCTGTGTGTGTTTAAATTCTCTTAGAATGCTCCTTTCTTTTAAAATGGCTGCAATCCAAAATGGCACACATGGCATCTGAATATATGTATGTGTGTATATGTATAATATATGTGTATAAGTGTGTATGTGCTCTTTGCTTTTAAGATGCTTCCACCCCCCTCCCCCTAAGAAAGAAACCCACAAACTGCTATTTATCCAGGTTCAAAAGGTGTCTTTGGGCTTTTGCAGAGAACCTTTTAAGAGGGAAATGTCACTTTTGCACACTTTACAATTTTCTCCCAAAAACACTTTTTAAAGGCTCATGCCAAAGCCACAAACTACTTTGCTTCTTTGAAGGGTGGCCAGAGCATTATAGGAGGGGGTTATAGATTCTGTATTAAAAGAAAAAAATGTGCAGAAATAGATGACATAGCCCATACATCTTCTTCTCAGTGGGTCAGAGGGGTAACCTGAACCATACTTAAAACCTGTCTGATTTAGGGGACACCACATAGAAAATACCCACTCAGCTCTACATTGTTTGGGGCTTGTTTATAGTATTTGTGAACCACCTTTCTATTGGCAACTTTCCAAGATGGCTAAAGCTGAAGTCTCAATTTCGCCATTCTGCCACACTCAGCTACAAGTAATCAAAGGTCCTGCATTGTTACTTATTTGGGTGGAAAGATTCCACTTTCACACACCATTCATAAAATTTGCATTGCTCTCCTGATTAAACATTGCCATCATCTCCCCCTTTTCAGAGAAACTGAACTTCAGTTCAATACCAAAACAACAAATCCACCACAAGGGAAAGCCACCAAAACAGAAATAAAAAATGTTATAGTGTTAAACTGAGGCTGCGTTGTAGTCCGCTGCTAGTTTTCTTCTATTCAGATCTCAAAATGTGATCCTTCTACAAGAGTTTTGTATTTATGGTTATATTTGTGTGGTACTATTGGTTTGTGTGGCTAAAAATCTGTGATAATAGGGGCTGGATTAATACTGACGAATACTACAGTTTGAACTGCATTATATGCTCAGTAGGCCAATATTATACGGTTCAGTGCAGTTCAAACTGCATTATTTGGCAGTATAGATCCAGCTGAAGTGAAACCTGCATGTACCTTTGAATTGTAGATGAAACAGGCAAGAAAGCTGCCACCCTTTTCCCCTGCTTGTAGGGGCCAGATGACTGCTGCTGGAAAGAGAGGCAATTGACCCAGAAAAAAATGATTTGCCAAAGACCAAAATTCAATACAAAGCAGAAGTGGGGTCTGTGTCTAAAATATCAAATCCCTCCAGTTATTCTAACCTATGCCATCCAAAAATAATTCACTTGCATATTTCCCCTGAAAACCATACTCATTTATCTCCCAGATTTTTTTCAAGTTTATCCCTCTTCCAAAAATCATTATCAGTTTCCAAAATTTATTCCTAAAATAATTCTGATTTGTAAAAATGTAATTCTTAATTTAGACCTTTGGTTATGCCTTCTGCTTCCTACCTCAAAGGGGAACAGGAATCACAGTCTGAATTAGTCATTGCCCACTTTGTCTCCTTTTCATTGTACAGTAACCTATGCAGTCTGGTGGTGCTATTTTCTTAGTCACCAAATTTTCTTGCCCTTGCTGCATTTAAAGGATTGTAAAACAAAGGTATAACAGTTTCAAAAGGGCTGATATAGTCCATTGAACAGCCACCAATGCGCTTTCTTTTAAGCCAGCAACTCTACATACTGGTCGGTAACTCCACTCAGATAGGCATGTGAAAACCATCAGTCTCATTTTGCAACATTCCTCTAAATCCCTCCTGCATTTTCATCCCATATTTTTTGCCCCAGATGGCTTGTGAGATGTTGTGTCTTTGTGGGTGTTTACATATAGTTCCTATTAATTTACATAATTTCTCCTTTGACTGAAATTTGCCATTTTGTTGTATGTACGTTTGCCATTTTAAAACATGCATATTGTTTTGTGGGTGCTGTGTTTTTGTGAAATGGTCTTCTGAAACGTGTATTTGGAGACTCTCAAATCCAGCACACAAAAGTCAACATCCCTAGAATCACTGCTATAAAAAGTACAGCTCTCATCAGTTCTCAGGAGAACAAGCTTGAAAATTTTATTTGTTGATTTAGTTGTTTATTTAGGAACTCTTGTAGAAGTACAGTTTTGTTTAAAGAGGAAAAAATATCCAGTTGCAAGCATGCATGCTAATTTTTAATAGATTTCTTAATTTGAGTCACTGATATAAGGCTTTGGAACCTGATTTTGGCAACTAAACAGGACCAGCCATAATCAGTACTAGCATGGGAGATGACAAATGAATTTTGTAGGCTTTATTTCAGAGGAAGGAACTAGCAAGAAGACCTCTGAGAATTCCTTGCAAAAAAAAAAAACCCCAACCCTATGAAATTCATGGAGTTGCTTTATGTCAACTCCATGACATAAGGCACTCTTATGTGTTTGAAGGCACATTCACAGTCTGTTGTTAAAATAGAAAAGATGCTTAATCCTGCAATTCGAATTGAACACAGGAGGTATTGAACATGGGTGATAACTCAGGAGGCACAATGGGGGGAAGCTGGGTGTTTCCCTCCATGGGATGGGGGTCTAGGTAAGGCAGGCAAAATAGGGCAAGGAGCAACAGTTTCTCCATGCCCCCTGCCACGATGTGTGACAAATACTTATTGTAAGTCCTAAGAGCTTCACCCTCACCCATCCTCTGCCATGTGTTATGGTCATGTAGCTTTGTTTGTGTATTATGCATCTGAATTTTTCATTTTCACCACAATTCTGGAACAGTTTTATGGCCTGAATCTTGTTTGGGAGGAGACAGGGTCTGGGAAAGGGGTTCCTTTGTTGGATCTTGGGGATATGGGCAAGCAAGGACATGACCAACTCTGCCCTACTCTTGAGTGGTGAAGGAGCCTTCTACCAATGGGGAACTCCATGTTCTGTCCTTTTGAATATATACTCAAAAATGGGCTTGATGAGTTGGTCTTAATAGTCAGCATGCACCTTAGCCACTGGGTGCCTGTTGGTGACAAGCTTCTTTAGCTATAGCTAATAATGTTGCCTTTTCGCAATTTATGTAGTTTGTCATGTCTCACTTGCTGATGAATTCCTGAACTAGTCTTCTCTCTCAAGTTAGAATCCATCTCGTCATGGGCACAGCCGAATACTAGCTGCCCCATTCTTTTCCTTTTCTGATTTGACAAGTGGATATATTGAAAAGACCTAGTTGTGAGAACTCTAACTGGATGTCACAATACAAAGGTCTTTGGTAGATGTAGTTTCTATGGATTTTGATACAGGGTCATGAGGATATTTGGGAAGTTCATCTCCCAGGGATCTTTCTATTCCAGGCAATTCCCACCTGACACAGTTGAATCCCTAAATAGAGAAAAAGGTGGGATAAAAATAATATAATAAATTGTCTTCTAAGTATTTGTTAAGACATCATTGGGAACACAACAGGCCTCTCGGCAGAATTCAAATGAAATAAATTTATTTAGGCTGAGCCGATTTCAATTGCTAATGGTGAGCTCACAAACAGCCATTTTGTAAACAAGATTTTTCACAAATAAGAATCTATTCTAATAACAAAAAAACCTCCCCCAAGTTTTCAATATACAAGTGTTATTTCTCTATTGGTTTGTACACACACACACACATACCGAATTCCTTCGGATTGTTAGTAACTATATTGGGACAGTAATCATAAACAAAGACTTCTTAGTGGTAGGTTACGAGGAAAGTTTGCCCTGCTAACATTTTGGCAAACGGTTTAAGAATAATGATCCATACATGGAATCACTACCGTCTCCTTTTTTAAAATCAATGTTCTATGACAAATAAAGCTTCATAAAACTGATCTAATTTCTCACCACATTCTCCCTTTTCTTTCCTGTGTTTGTTTCTCACTGTGTGATTCACATTCACTACTTAGCAGTCCTCCCTTAAGTATGGGAATGCATAGACATACAATCAGCATAAGGGCTTGTCAACCCCCCTCTTTGTGAATTTAGGGTGGATGTACACTGCCCTATATTCCAGGATCTGATCCCAGATTATTTGCTTAACCCAGATTTTTCTGGCAATGTAGACTCATATAATTCAGTTCAAAACAGAATATGTTTTAATGGTTTTTAATGGTGATTTTTACAATTATTATTCATATTTAATTCTGTTTTAATGTTTGCATAATTGTCTATTTTAAATTGTATGCTAATGCTTTTATGTTAAGCTGTTTGAGTCTTAACATAAGAGTGGGAGAGAAAGTAGGGAAATAATGATGATGGTGATGATGATGATGATGATAGGATAAAGGGCAGTATAGATCCATCCTTCGTCATCCATGGGATTCCAGTCACATAGTTGTCTATTCATTTATATTTACCCTGCATTTCTCCTGATATAGGGACGCAAGGTGGCCTCATATACCTTAAACACATTTTCAAATTAATTGTATTGAATTTTCACAATAAATTAAAAATAATAAAAAAAACCACAGACACTAAAATAAGAAACAAATCAAAGAGATATCATACAATTCCCACCCCATTACTTCTCGCCATCCTTGCTAACTAAGACTAACAACTAAACTCTATTCCCCTATTTAAAAAATAGGGGAATGATTGACAACTGGGAAATAGAGGGAGAAAACGTGGAGGCAGTGACAGACTTTGTATTTCTAGGTGCAAAGATTACTGCAGACGCAGACTGCAGCCAGGAAATCAGGAGACGCTTACTTCTTGGGAGGAGAGCAATGAGTGTGTAAAATAAAAAAAACATTAAACACACAACTGACTTTTCCCCTCCTCAAGCAAAGTCAACTGTCAAACTATTACACATTTTAAAAAATATCTCTGAAGTATAGTTGTCATCAAAGGAAATGGATACTAGGTTTTCATGAGTTTTAGTAACTACATAACAGAAATGAAGTGACTAACTAGCTTGTTAGTTCCTGATCAGTTTGTACATAGTGGTTGCTAGATTTCTCAATGATTGGGGTGGGGGGATCCATTCCGCCAAGAAGACACATTGTCCCTGCTTTTGTTTGAATGCGTTGGATTGTCTGTTTAGCCTCATCTGGGGGAATGGCAATGTTACGAGGGTGAGGAAATTAGTTATGCTGAGAAGCTGCAGTATCAAAGGATCCTGGAATCCCCTCCCCCACATAGCCCAGACCTCCCTCTGCTGTTTAATTAATATGATAAATGTGTTATGCATAACCTTGGTTTGCACAGTGATTTTAGATAGTCATGATTAGACTGCCGTTCACTGTATGAACCTGATCTCATGAAAAAGGAGCTTAGGCGTCTGGTTATTTAAACACCAAACCATATGTTTTTCTGGCATCCTGCCTGTAAACTAGCTCCCCTCCTTGACAATTTTTAGTTCATGTTTGTGACCTACACGTTCTTAGGCCGCTGCTTTTTTATGATTACCAAAAAAACTATATTTTTAACTATAGTTGTAACTATAGTAATATATTTAACTATAGTTAAATCTATATGATAGAACATCTTCAGTCAGGCTTTTCAAAAAATCTGGATGTAGTTAACTAAAGTGGTCTCCCATTTTCATTTCCATAGCAAAATCACTCAAACATCCAACACCAAACATTCACACTTGTTTTCCTGGAAGCTGAAACTAGTAGCATTAGGAGTTGATGGAAACCTCCCTGTACAATAAATTTGTGGTATTTGAGTGCCGTATTTTACTCCCATTCTGCTGCTATGAAAATGTGCTACTATTGTAAATGTAAATTTAGCCTAATACAATTATGTTGTGATTGATATGATGACATCATCAAGCTCATGACTGGATAATCCCTATAGTAAGGCAATGTCACAAGTAATGGATATTTCTGGAGATACTAAAGTTGTCCTCTTGAGTCTAACACAGTGGTTCTCAACCTGTGGATCTCCAGATGTTTTGGCCTTCCAGAAATCCTAACAGCTGGTAAACTGGCTGGAATTCTGGGATTTGTAGGCCAAAACATCAAGGGACCCACAGGTTGAGAACCACTGGTCTAATATATGTTTAGCCAATAACAAAGAATAAAAAAAATACATATTGAAATTTTGTATTAAATTATTGAGTTACTTCAGATTGTGTCTCATATATTTCGACTCTGAAATTTGTTAACAATGAATGTAATGCGTGGGATTTCTTAACTTGGGTTTTTCATTAATATTGTGCAGTTGGTGAAAGTTGACATCAAATCCTCAATGATTGTACAAAATTTCACTTTTTTGGTTGTCTTTTCCATTTTCAGGAAAGGATAAATTTTTGTACAAATTTAAACTTTTGTTTCAGAAATATTTTAGTCCTGTTATGGTCAAATAAGTACCCTCCAGTTAACAAACATATGTTAAAAACCTTTCATGTTCTTCATTCTTGCCAAGGTTGAATTGCTTTTTAAAGCCTTGATCAAGGAAATCTGAGAAAGTTTTCAGCTCAATGTCTTACTTTTACAAATCTTAAATATGTAAATATATGGACCAATGTGGAGGGTGGGTGAGGGAAAGGGGACTTGCCGGCTGACGATGCTGCTGTTCATGGACAATGCTAAGTCGCTTTTTTCTCATGGAAAGTTTTTTCCCCAATGTTTTCTCTCTTATACTTGCTGCAGAATGCAGTGCGACATAATCTTAGTCTTCACAAGTGTTTTGTGCGAGTAGAAAACGTTAAAGGGGCAGTATGGACAGTGGATGAAGTAGAGTTCCAAAAACGAAGGCCACAAAAGATCAGTGGGTATGTCCACCATGTTTGAACTTCTTAGCCTAGCTTGGATCATGCTTACAGTGTTAACATAAAGGCTTTGGCTGCTAGATGGTGTTACAGATCAATGCAGGTGGTTTCACCTTGTTTCTGTCAGGGGAAACAACAAAGAACATTTCATCACTACCGTTTGTATGCCCACCGGTCCCCTTTGCCCTTGCTTGCTTGGTGTTCGTTTTGCATCACATGCTAGTAGCTTTTAGGTGGCAATGCATATTAACCCTCACAATCCATTTGCTTATGCTTATTGCATTTTATTTTCTTTTTCCTTTTCCCTGTATTTGATGTCTGTTCTGTTCCCCAATCCCATGTCCCTTTGTTTCCACTTCATCTCGTTTGCTGCTGACCTTATCCCAGGGTGCTATTCGCACCAACCTATCCCTGCATAAGTGCTTTATCAGAGTAGAGGATGAGTTTGGGTCCTTTTGGACTGTTGATGATGAAGAGTTTAAACGTGGCCGTCATATTCAACGAGGCCGTCCTCGAAAATTCTGCCCTGATGAAAACTTTGGCGAGCTTGTTACACAGTAAGATCTTTTACTTGCTTTGTGGGTGTATATGCGCGCCTTGGTTCCCTCCCCCCATTTTTTTGTTTTCTGTTACTTTTGCTTTGCATGATTTATCCATTTCATGTAGACTTGCATTTCACAAAATAGTGGCATTGCCTTTACTGCAGAAAAAGACCTTTAAATGTCATGGTTGTGTATGCATTGCACTGCTTCTTGCAACTGCCTATGCTAACCCCTTCTTACATGTTAATTGTATTGCAACAATACTGAGTGTTCTTTATCAAACTGTTGTTCGACAATTCTGTAGAACCAATTAGGGTGTTGGTGTTAGGCTGAATCTATATTGTTAATCTTAGTTCTTGTTCTCCATATTATTTTACTACAATTTATAATGTTACATGCTATATAAACATTTGATAGCAGTTCTTGAAAGCTATTGCTGTGGTACCCCTGAAGTGCATAAACATTTAAAAATTACTAGTGGGTTTCTAAAAGTTTAGATTTCATTGCTGAGAATCCTTAACAATGCAACACAGAAGCCATAATTTTAATAAAGTAGTCTCCTTTCCATTCAGACTTTTATATTTCTCCTATTCCATGTTTTGATTCAAAATATCCGCCCAGTGACATGGGACAATACCTTTTTGCTCTTACTAATGATTAGAAGAGAGCATTCTTAGGAATAATCCCAGTTCAATTTATTGGCTGTTACTGCTTCTGAGTGTTTTTCCTCCTTTTTCATAAGGTTTACAGAAAAGTATTGGAGATTTCTCATTAGTAGTATTTAAAGGGTAATACCTTTATAATCCTTTGACAGAGTTTACCACAATGGTTTAAATCCAGACTAGGCTTTCAGTTCTTATTAGGATTGCACATTTTAGGTCTACCTCATTAAACACAGTAGAATTAACTTCTAAATAGGCAAGCATAGGTTTGTACTATATATTAAATACACTTTAGATCCATTAAAATTATTGTGAGCTGTTAGTCATGACTTAGGTTATCATAGGGTGGCTCCACACTGCCCTATATCCCAGATTATCTGCTTTGAACTGGGTTATATGAGTCCACACTGCCAGATAATCTAGGATAAGGTAATCTAGGATCAGATCCTGGGATATAGGGCAGTGTAGATCCAGCGTGAGATTCTACCAATTGGAACACTTGGGGTTTTTTAAATATTAAAAAGTAGTTATTAAAAAGTATGATGATACTGCTCCCAACAGATTAGACCCTCTCTTCCCATTGACTGAAGTATGCAGCATATAATTAATAAATTGCAGAGATGTTGGGAAGACAGAAGCCCAGTTTAGTTTCCCAGGATTCTTCCACAGAGCCCTATATCCCAGAATATCAAGGCAGAAAATCCCACAATCTCTGCTTTGAACTGGGTTATCTGAATCCACATTCAGATAATGTGGGATTTTCTGCCTTGATATTCCAGTTATATACGGCTGAGTGGAAGGGCCCCCAGATTCCCTCTAAATGATGAACCAAAATAACTTTGGAAACTAGCCTGCTTAACAATAATCCCCAAAATCGTGTGATAAAGAGATGGAGCACCACAAAAAAAATCTGTTCTTTCAATTAAGTTTCCTATGTGTCCAGAATACACAGGTTCATTGGACTCACTTGTTTATGTTATGCCTTTGTGCTCTTCCTGCATTTGGAATACTGTTCAAATCACACTTATCAGTGAAACCATATAGAAAAAGGAAGGGGAGGAAAGGAAATCACCTATCCTTAGAGGAGATTACACACTATGTCTTTAGCATAAGTCACTGCTCTTGGAGAACTTCTTTCTAGAATTCGTGTCTAAAAGGACAGTGTCTTATGCAGGAAAAGAGGATGTAGGTTATTTGTGAAGATGGACAGTTCTTACATTTACACATTCTAAATGTTTTGATATTGTGCTTTTGCATGTTAAAATCCAGGAAATAATGAGCTTGTTTCAGCTAAGAAACAAATCCCAAGAATGGAGATGTTGTTTAGTCATTCTTCTAGTTTTCCAACTGAGAGCATCTGGGGATAAGGGAACATTAAGTTACCCAATGACATTGGTTAGGACTGTTGGTTTCCTTTCCATGGCACCAGGAAATAAGTGCTAGTTCGTAGGAAAGACCCAAGTGATCACTTCCTGCTCACATAATTAGCTTTTTCAGATATTCTCTCAGATATGTAGAAGCGCAGAGAACATCTCAAAGCTAACAAAGTTTTGAGAACAGGAGATAACTGTTTGTTGTAAAAACTGAAATATAATGGAAGTATCTTAAATAATCAGTAAAGATGTGGGCCGTTAATACAGTTGTGAATTTGATTTAAAGGTCAAGGATGTGAGGTTGGTTAAAATGTTTACTGTGTTTTTGTGGAGTGCCTTCTCAAAGCACAAGATTTGGTTGCCTTTAACCTTTTTTTCTCTTCTAAATATGTCTTCTTTGCACAGAAACCCTACACTTATTAAAAACATGCAGACCAGCCACACCTACTGCTCACCTCTCAGTGCTGCTTTACAGGTAAGATTAATGAGTGTGGCAAATATGCAACATAGGCGTGTGTGCCTTCTCTACTCGTTTCAAAATATATTAGCCTTGCTCTAATTAGATATTAAATTTTAATTCCGTTAAACTTTTTTCTTAAGTGCATAAAGCATCATGGTCCCTGGAGGCAAACACATATCAGGCTGCTTCAGCATTAGCTAGATGCTTAGCATTTTGAATATTGTGGCAAAAAAATTAAAAGTTCACTTATTAATATTTATCAGCAGTATCATAATTTCCATCCTCTTATTTCAGAATTTCACTTGAGGCAAAAATACCACAAGTGTAATTACTCTAGCACAGCTATTAATGTGCTGAATGATAGGATACCATGTCACATGACCTTCTATTGTTCATTGCTTTAAAGGAAAAGCACATCTCCCCTATGTACATGCATACACATACGTGCACAGACACACAAATATTTCTGTCAAGAGGCTTTCACATGCATGTTTCCTATTGTTACATAGCTATGTCAGATGAGAAGAGAAGAATTAAAGGTTAGGTCTGTACTGCAGATGTAAAGAATTTCCTGGGAAATATTTAGATAGTCTGTATCATGGTTTAGTGTGTGTGTGCATATATATAAATAAACTTTGAAACATTTTATAAACATGTAAAATAGTAAAATGAAATGGTTCCATGTTCAACATTTCTATAAAACATTTTAAATAACTAACCTCTTTCATATGTTTGGTATAAAATTTGACATAACTAATAAACCTTTCTATGGTTGGCAGTGTCAAGAGAGATGTGTTCAGGCTTCCTCTAGACTGTTTTTCAGCCACTCTATATTAGCTTTATTTTTGCCACACGCAGAAGAGACCGACAGACTGCGATCCACAGTTTACTGAAAAATAGATATTTAAAATAATTTACTTCGTCAATATGCAGGATTGTAGCCAAACTGAATTGTTTATATACCACAGCATTTCAGAAGGGTTTACTGGACTTTAAATTTTACTTTTAAATTAAGGGGCAGATTGATTAAAAAGGAAGTAACAGCCTACATTACTCCTAATTACTTCAGTTTATGTAGTAACTTCTGAAAAGCAAATGAAAGCATGTGTAAATGAAGCAACTGTAAATATCATTCATTAGGATCTTATTTTCCCTTGAGTCTTGTGAAGTTTTTAAAGCCATGCTTCCATCTGTGGAACAGTATTAAAATTACAAGCACATTTTGCATTCATGAAGCTGAAAGGCAAAAATGAAGTGATCCAGCATTCCTTCAGCTTCTGTTAGCTATGTGACTAATTTCAATTAATATGCTTATCATACGGAACAGTTCGTGTTTTAGTTCTAAAACATGTGTTGTTGTCGTCATTTCCACCCACCCCCTCCCCGAATTATGTGATAACGTAACAGTAATTTCTATTCTGTTGCACTTCCGCCACCAAAAAAGATACCTACACACAAGATATCCAGTATATTAAAAGGAGTAAGAAAAGAAATCTAGACTAGTTATAAAGTCAGTTCAGCACTTTTGATCTTGTGTGTCTGTGTGTCAGGAATGACTTGAAAAACTGCAAGTCACTTCTGGTGTGAGAGAATTGGCCATCTGCAAGGACATTGCCCAGGGGATGCCCAAATGTTTTTGATGTTTTACGATCTTTGTGGGAGGCTTCTCCCATATCCCCGCATGAGGAGCTGGAGCTGACAGAGGGAGCACAACCCGCTCTCCCTGGATTCGAACTTACTGGTCAGCGGTCCTGCCAGCACAAGGATTTAACCCGTTGCGCCACCGGTGGCTCTTAACAGTTGTGATAATTAAAAGCACATTTTTAACCAGTTACCAGTCAGTTTTTGATAAGAAAGCGGTAAAACCAAGCCACATACATACACTGCTCTTTACTTGAGACAGGGACCAGTCTTGTATTCCATGAAGTATTATTAATTTTACATGCATGGCCATATGAAGACTCCCCTTTCATTATTAACCTCAGCTACCTGTCTCACAGATCTGGAAAAAAACATCCTGGTTTATTTTTAAAAAAATGACTTCAGTGTTGTTTGACAGTTCAAACTTTATAAAACACTTTTTTTTTCTATTGGGCAAAAATCAAGAACTTTCAGTGATTTGAAACTATATAATAATAGAAGCTGCTCAATAGAAGGAAATCTCCAGTTAGCTAACACTGAGCCCACTTTTTGCTCTTTCCACTCTCAGTTGCACTCACCTCCCACATTAGCATCACTGTTTGGATTGCTACTAGAAATACAACTAATTCGGCCTACCACTTTGTACATTTTGTTAATAGATTTTACAGTATGTAACAACTGCATCTTGTAGGTGTTGTCAACCATTCTAATTCAAAATCAAAGAGACCCCTCTCTGCTCAATGGGGTATCTCCACCTCTTATTTTACTTTTTGCCCTATAAGTGAAACGATTGTCTTCCAAACTAGTTTATCAGAAGTATACCATCTCTGTTTATAGTCATCCTACTGCCAGCTTGTCACGAGCTTTTTCAACAAACAGAAGTTCTACAATTGATTATTACTCTGATTTCATACAAGGATGAAACAACTGTTAGATCTGATGTCATGCTTCACCTAATGGAACATAAAGTGAAGCAGTGGGGATGAATGAAGATCTCCCACAGTCTCCTTTGATTAGTTCTGTGTTATCAAGGGAGAAAGCCTTCTCCACTGTGCCCCCCCCCCACTTTGGGACTCGCTACCTAGTGAGATTAGGCAAGTCCCCACCCTAGCACCCTAGCAGAAAGATCTAAAAACTTGGCTCTTCCGATGTGCCTTTGGAGAATGACCATTCAACCCATTTTGTTTGTTTCCATCTACAGTTGTCCTCATGATGCACTTTCCCCTGTCCTTAATAAAGGCCAAACCCCACTGCTCCCCCTTCTTGGGCTCCTTCCTCACAAATACACTTTTTTAATTCCTAACTCACCCGGGATTTTAACATTTTATCTCATGCATTTGGCCCGTGTTTGATTCTTATTATGTTATTTTGCACTGTTTATTTTATTTTGTTACCTTATGTATTTTGTTTTTCTGTTGTTTGTGTCTAACTTTGCTGTATTATTTTTGGGCTTAGCCTCATGTTAGCTGTCCCGAGTCCCCTTTGGGGAGATGGTGGCGGGGTATAAATAAAGATTATTATTATTATTATTATTATTATTATTATTATTATTATTATTATCAATATTGTGTTTAGACCATTCAGTTGCAAACAACAGTTTAGTTCACAAAGTCACAATGTTGAATTGTTTGTACTCATATGATCCTTTCATAGTGCCAAAGTCATATTGCAGATAGTTCTCTTCCAGCTCTCTAAAACACTACTATTCATTTTTACTCAAAGATAGTTCAGCCTATAGGTATCAATCCAGTGACTTAGATGCATGCTAAGGAGAAATGTAGGAAGCAGTGGTGGTTTGGACATGCAAGTTATTTTTCAGAAGCTCTTTTGCCAAATCTCTGCACTGCATCCCCAGCTTGATTTGTTTAACAATACTTGGATGTTTGGGGAAGTTCTCAGAACAAAAACTTCTGGTTTGTTGTATGTGTCTTAGGATCACAGCCCTAGAAGATTTTAAATTCTTTTTAAAGCATTAGAATTTCTAGATTAACATTACTGATCAACATCTCAGAATGGTGCCATGGGATGCTCCCCTGTTGCTATCTATCTAACTTCTTCTGTATAGAATTTGTCCATTTGCCCACCTGTGGTTTTAGAGGAGGAAAAATAGCAGGTGCTTTTCCTGTTCTGTCTCTTCCTAAATAAATTACTTTACTGCAATTACAAGTTATCTCTGTGGTGGGAAGTGCGTGACTCATTATTTCAGAAACTGCAGGAAGCACGAGTCTTATGTTCCCCACTTCATCAAAATTATTTTTCTGCATCTTGAATTAAAAAAGATTAATATAATCCTCTTCATTAGAATGGTGTTTTGATTGCCCTGGATAGAAATAGGGACAGTGCTTCAGGGAGGGCAGCTAGATAGAGTAAAAAGGCAAGATACGCTTCTTCAACTACCCCGCAATGGCTGAATAAAACCTGTAGCCACTTTTGCTTATTAAAATGTCAAAAATCAAAACATCATTATGTTCAGCAAAGTGACAGCAGCTAGGATAGGAAAGTAACCTATCCAAAAACGCATCTCCTAGAGTTTTACAACAAATATACACGCCATTGGATATGTACTATATTGCTATATTGGCCTCATTTTGAGAAGGAACATAATTTAAATGTTTGTGCCCTTCTCTTGTGATTTCATCCTCTCATTCCGATAGGTTTCTTGTTAAAGTACAGTGTAGAGGCCGCCAAGAGACAAAGTTTGGATCTTTCCAGAAGACACAACTTTGTAATAATGATGTGTTGTGGCTATCCAATTGCAGAGTTTCTATTGTGGGAAGTTTGCCCACGCCTGGCCTATAACATTGTCAAGTTATGTGCTGCTCCATCTCAAACTCGGCCTTGTTTCAAATCCTTTTTAAGAATGTGCTTTTTTGTTGTTGCATCTCCTACACTCACTCAACTGTTTATGCATCACAAAAAGTGAATAAAAATAAAAGTCAACCTCTACTCTTCATCTCTTTCCTTGCATTTCATGTGTGTGCTTATGCCACATTTAACACTGCAGCACACATTTCTGTACCCTCTGTTTTTCTCAACACTCACCACTGAGACTGATGAATAGAAAAGTTCAAGAATGTTTATTGATGATAAGATGCTTAGATACTATTCCAGGTGAATAGTATTCTTCAGTTATATCTGGGGAGTCTGCTTTTATGGATAAGGCTTCTTGGAAAGTCAGTTGCCAGGCACTTGCTTTCAGTTTTAGTTCTTCACGTTGTTAAATAACAATCTATAGATTGACATAGGAATGAAGGAAACATTAATTTTAAGTACCGTGTTTCTATATTTGCATTGCATAAAAACAAATACAAGAATGCGATTACCAGTTGCTTTGTTTTCAGTAAGCCCTGTTTGGGTAATATTTTCAATATGAAAAGTGCACATCTCATTTCGACATGTATTTCTCATTTTAATATGGACGTCTTTACAACTCAATAGCAATCTTCTAGACTAGGGAGTTTGAGTTTACATTTGATGTGCAACGTAGTAGCCTATAATGGAACGGAGATGCAACTATTTGTGCACTATTTACATAGAATTGTAAGAGAGCCCTAGCACAAACTACATCAAGCTGAAAAAAGATTTCATCAAAGCAGATGTCACAATAGACAACATGAATATGGAAAACAATGTTACCATGTTAGCTAAAATATTTTGTTCTCACCATGTAATCCAGTTTTCATGAATTACACACAACAGAAGAGATCAGAGCATCTTCCAGAACAGCTCCTTCTCTTATAGTTCAAGATCCTTTTCATATCATTCCACTTATTGATCATCATTTCAAACTATTAACCCCCAAACTTTCATGCATTATCCCTAGTGTGCAGTCATGTGCAGACACATTCATACATGTGAAGAGATCATGATTATGATTATCTTGTTTTTATTTCCAAGAGTGGGACCCAGTTAAAAAATAAAAATATGTTAAAAACAGTTTAGCTAAAACAATGTAGCATCATAGTATGCCCTAAAAGGAGAACCATAATATATTTCAATGCCAGATGTACCTGAATAATGGATGGAACAATTGGCTACCCCCCCCCCCCCCCGCGCTCCAAAATCTTGACTCAAGCTTTAGCACAATAGACAATACTTCATTGTTGAAAATTCTGATAGTTCAAAGTCTGAGCCTTAAAATATGTTAAATCAACTTCTTGTGCTAGTGCAGAGACAGAGCATAAGTTTTTCATTCTTCCATGGTTCAGGGCAAAGGGTATGATCACCATCACCTTATGCTGCCATTTAAAGAAAAGAGAAAAATAGGCAAAACCATTTAGTATGACATTTTCCTGCATGATCATATGAATAGTTTCTTGTGTAGATGACATTTAGTTGTAAAGATGAAATTGTTTTTAGATAAAAAATTTAGTTATGTGAAACCTTAGCACTTAATTAAAAAAAACTGATGGTGTGGTTATGTAAATGGAGCATGGTGTGCTCCTTGGAGTTGGCCTATAGTGCATGTATGAACACGTGTTCCTGTGGATCCTCATGTCTTGTTCCTTAACTTGACAGGCTTCAATGGCTGAGAATAGTATACCTCTGTACACTACTGCTTCCATGGGAAACCCTACTCTGGGCAGTTTAGCCAATGCTATGCGGGAAGATCTTAATGGTGCAATGGAGCATGCGAACAGTAATGGGAGTGACAGCAGTCCAGGACGGTCCCCTATGCAAGTAATGTAAGTACTAGTGAATGTTTCTGTTTACATTTTAATTTTGCCTCCCTTCTCAAACCCCAGGAGCTATGTTAAAATAATAATATAGTATTAATATTTTTTTTTCTTATCCACCTCTCCCCATGGCTCTTAAGGCTTCAAAGGAGTACATGTGCCAATTTGAAGGAAAGGAATTATCTCTGGTTTACATGATAAAGCAACAGTGATCGGCTCAATTCAGTCCAAAAACCTTGTCTACCTAAGAACTTTGTAATTTACCATTATGTTTAACTCTAAGACAAAACTGCTATCCCCCAATAGTATTATTATTTTTAATTCAATTTCTACAATTTGGAAACATCTGGAAAGATGCACCAATAGCTATTAACAACAAAAACATTAAATGTGCTTGTCTGGGAGTTGTTCATTATGGGTAAAAATATGGTGGAGTCAAATAATCAAAGAGGCCTTCGGTTTTATCTACTTGTATGGAAGCCCTTTAGGCTTCTGATCATGTTCCAATGGGTAATATCAATCATATACCAAATCAAAAATAGCATGTCTTTTTGTGCAGAAAGCAACTTTTCTTACACATGAAACAGCACTTACTGCCCATAAAACATTGCCTCCTCTGCTGGTTTTTGCATGGAAAAATAGTGGAATTGTGCATAGAATGAGCTCCAAAAATCAGCATGTACTACATATCAAACATTTCCACACAGAAATTGTGTTTCCTACAATAAAAAATGCTATGTAGAAAAATGTTCTTTCTGCATAAAACCATGTACTAATTTTGTGCAGAATAAGTCTGAAGCTGTGAATAGTCTTGAGAAACTTCATGCTTTTCAAAACCCTTCCTGTAGAAGGAAGAAAATAGCTAGAATTACTTGTTTATTTTGAGAACAAATTTTAGGAGAAAGTTACACATGTATCAGTTGAGTTTGTTCTTTCCTTCAGATTCATGGTGGGAGAATGTGGGGAGAAATGTAAGGTTTTCTCACATATGTGATTTTGTTTAGAAGGCAATGGAACAAATCCTGATTTGTTCACTTTCGAGATGGACAGTTAGTGCAAATGGCAACCTGTCCCTTAAAATGTGACAGCAAAAATATTGGTCCTCTTGCCAAGAGATCACATAGCCAATTAATAAAATAGTTAAAGGAATTACTTTGTAGCCCTTGTACTTCACAGAAATATGAATAAGGCTTTGACAAAAGTAGGTCTAAATCAAAAGGTAGGAAAACATTAACCTATTGCCACCCTAATAATTAGTTGTGAAGGTAATTAGCATTAAATGGTTTTTAAAAAGTTTCCCACCTGCATAATATGTTGGGCAGGGGGTAGAGGAGAAAGGAAATCTAAGGCTCTTATTACTTTGATATTTCAGCATTTTAAATCAGTGCACATTATGCTTTGAAAAAAAATCTTTAAAGATGGCAACATTCATTTTTAATTAATAATTAATTTGAACATTGTCTTTTACCATTTACTTCAAAACATTTGAATGTGTTTAGCTTTCAGAAGAATTGTTTGTGCAGTATTAATTAGCATTCCCAAAGCAGAATGACATGACATTCTTCTAGAACTATTTGAATGAATTCCTCTTCAGGCAATGTGGGGGCACAAATACTTTTGCTTCACTAGTTTCAAATTTAGGAAAGTTGCTAGGATTTGAATTTTTTTCAGGAGTAAAGCATCTGATTTTTGCCAAGCACAAGTTATTCAATTAAGCTCCTTAAAACTCATTTGGTTTAAAAACAAAGTTTGGTTTTTTAACATTTAAAATTAGAACAGTGGAAAAGAGTTAGGGGGGCAAAATGTAGCAGCCAATGAATAACTTGTAAGAGAGCTGACAGATTTTGATATCTGTAGCCAACAACATGTTTCCATTACTAAATTGCATCAGAATAAGAGATACTGTAGGACACTACTCTACTGCTTATTTGGTGTTAGAAAACTGATTTAAATATTCTTGCAAGCACAAATTCAAGTTCCTGTTTTCTATAATGAGAACTAGAAAGTTTCCATTTTAAAGATAAGTTTTCAAAAGCTGTTGTTAAGCACTTAAAAATACCTAACATTTTGTAAGTTCCTTCCTGACTTTGAAAAAGAAATACAATAACTGCGTTCAAACTCCCAGTCAAATAAACACAATGCAAAAAGAAAATACTGAGGGAGAAAGGAAAGCAAGTGCTAAAGCAGCAGCTGCCTCTCCGCCCAATGGATAAGATGAGACTTATTCTAATATAGGTTGTGCATCTCTTATTTGGAATTCCACAATCCAAAATACTCCAAAATCAAATTTATCCACAAATGTGACTATGATACTTGTTTTCAGAGGGTTCAGTTTACACAAGAATTGTTTTATTCACATTTTTTTTAAAAAACCCATTGTGTATAAAATTAGTTTCAAGCTATGTGAATAAGGTATATATGAAATAGAAATGATTTTTTTGTTTATACTTGAAAGTAAATCTCCAAGAAAACTCATTGTGTACATATTTGTAAGTATAGATATTACAAAATCACAAATCCAAAACACTTCTGGTCCCAAGCATTTTGGATGAGGGATGTTCAACCAGTAGATGTTTCATTGGGATTCTGCAATAAAAGAACATGGTACACTTGTATACTCACTGCTTGCCTCAGTCCAAAATACCTCCATGCATGGTCACTTAGAATAACATAGGGCCACGGTTCCATGCACTACAGGGTTTTGTTTGTTTACTCCAGGCATCCTCAAACTGCGGCCCTCCACCTGTTTGGGACTTCAATTCCCAGAATTCCTGACAATGGAACAAGCTTGTTAGGGCTTCTGGGAGTTGGAGGCCCAAACAGCTGGAGGTCTGCAGCTTGAAGATGCCTGGTTTAACCAATCAAAAGATGCTGATTTTCTGTTTTAGTGCATATGTTAATTTTCTTACTGTATGTATGTATGTATGTGCATGGCATCAAATTGCTGCCTTTTTGTAAGGTCGCTCTGAGTCCCTCTTTTGGGGTGAGAAGGGCAATATATCAATGTAGCAAATAATTTTTATTTGTCGTGTCAGGGCAACCAGTCAATTGTATTACATTTCTAACGAAACAAAACAAACAAACAGATAAAATACAAAATTTGCTAGTTTGGTAGTTGATTAAATGTCCTTTGACCAATATCTGGCCACTTGGAGTGCTTCTGGTGTTGCTGCAAGAAGCGACCAGAAGCAAATAAATAAATAATAACTATTTTTGTATCTCGCCTCTATATCTCCCCGAAGGGACTTGGAGTGGCTTACATGGGGACAAGCCTGATCAACATAGTTAAAATATAACACAAAAATGCATAAAACAGACAACAACATAACACAGTATAAACCCACCATCAAGCAAACAACCAATGGCCTGAGTAATAAACAATTTCTGGCCTTGGGTGAGCGACTGGTGCAAATCAGTTTTCAGGACTGTTGGATAAAGTGCAAAGCCCAATGACAAAATTAGGGATGGGGGGCAATATGAAATAGAACACTATGTCTCTAGGAAGGGAACAGTAGTAAAGTGCAAGGACTAGATTTTGGGTCATAGCTAGGGGCCAAAAATTATCTGGGGAACAGTCTAATCAAAAGCACAGAGGAACATCCACATTTTTAGATCTTTATGGGAGGTGGAAAGGGTAATATACAGTCATCGACTATATAATCTACAGTGATATAATAATAAACCTTTGGTATGAGCTTCCCTATACTAATTTTGTTTTTTAAGGAGGAGCTGATTGTTAGAATTAAGTATAATAGCCTAAGCATGGAGCAACTGAGTTACTTTATACATTAGATGCATAATGAGGGGATGATATGCCCAATGCTTTATGACAGAAATGTTGTAAAAATCTAAAAATGCTTTAGGATTTTTGCCTGTCTTAAAAATAACATGTGAAGAGATGCTATTGATTTATCATACAGCCGTCACAACTCTCAGAAATATCCTTGATTCCCCAATTGTGTAGATATTTGTGGAATCATTTTTATTTTGTTTGAAAATTCAGTAAGATGCTAATGGAAATTCCTGAGCATTTATATTAAACCTGTATTTCCAAGCTGCATTGGAAACATTGCAAGGTTCTGTTTGTATGTGATAAAAGAGCTGGCTAGTATAATGGAAATCCAGCACTCGATGCAGGCTGTTACATAATAGGCAGTTCTCTATGCTTTTAGATTGCAATTGAGTACCTCTTACAATGGTATTTTTCTTTTGCTTAACAAACTACATTTCACTTCCATAAGGAGATTGATTTTTACAGTGATGATAGACTGGAATAGATCATGCCTTTAAACGTCATCACGAACTTTAGGGAGTCTTGTTAACATAACAACTGAGGAAGTATAACACTCCTGCTGAAATCTGATTGCTGTTTCTTCCTTGCGTTTTATGACACCCTGAAATGCTTGCTGCCTCACCCTTTTCTTCCACTCTTTTGAAACATTAGAAAGTAGTCACATAATTACAGCTTGGGGACATAACACTTTCATCCTGACATGCTCCAAAGGTAGTCACAAAGCAAATGTTCCCATGCTGTGTGCACCACTAAAACACGGTGGCATTAAACAACAGTCAGCTTTATTAAATACTCTTCTCTTCCCAGAGTGGACAAACAAAAGAATTACTCAGATGTGAAAAGAAGGGAAGTTTCACTCTTGGAAGTTATTTATAGTTAACCCTTTCCAAAGCAAGAAGCATGTAATCTAAAAGGAATGGCAGGACAGTCTTGGGAGTAAGGAAGAAAGAAAACAGCTTTCCTTTGAGTTCTAGTGTTCACCTTTGGCAACTGCTTCAGTTTTGGCTTTTTCTTTATCCCTTGTTGTAAGAGGATTTGAAAAGTCTTTTTATAGAAAAGTTACAATCAGCGTGTAAAACTGAGAGGCGCTTTCAATACCAGCAGCACTTCAGATAAACTGGTCCTGAATCTCCGAAGGATATGGGTAATCACTGAAACATGTACTTATTAGAATGATCTAAAATGGAACTCAATAAATTAGCAAAATGTTTTGGCTTCTGCCCTCTTCAGTGGATGAAAACAAAACAAAAATGAAGTTCATTTTTGTTTTACATACAGTTTAATTTTCCTTGTAGCAACTGGATTAACTTCTGTTTGAATGTATATGTTTTACAGAAAGAAAGAAATATATGTATTACATTCCTGCAAAAACAAATCAGTTGCTCAAAGCAACTGATTTTGTTTAATTTCTATGCTGCCTTTCTGCAAAAAAAGGGGGACTGAAATGCAAAACGTATATATAAATGGATGGTATAGAAGCATAAAACATGTTATAAAACATACTTTTAAATTCACAGTCACTAGAATATGTTTATAAAAGCTAAGAGGGGCAGCAAAGATAAAAACTCAAGAGAACCAAACTAGCACTCACTTGATAAAATTAAACAACACAGGCAGATTATTAAGAGGAAAAAGTTTTTACACGCCAGCAGAATGCAGATAAAATGGAAGTCATAAAAGAAGCTTCCTCCAATTTTGAGCAGCTTTAGACTGTCAGAGAGCCATGAATAATTCTGTGCCTGTTTATTTTTACATGCCTAAATAGGGTCCTAGTAAAAATTACCCAGAGAAGGATCATGTTTTCAACATTGTTATATTAAGCAAGCAATGACTTCCCACTGACAGAGTTTACTCAAAGTAATGCGTAGCCCCATTTTTCCACTCTGCTTGTCTGTTGTGATGGAAGGAACAGTTAGATCGGTCACTGAAGAATAATGCCAGGGACTTCAACAAAATAGTGGGCAGTGCCTGCAGCCCTCTGTGTTAATTTTCTCCAAAGGAGAGAATAAGAAAAAAATGGATCACATTCCGATGTAAATATCAAGAACTAACTTTTTGGGAGTGGAAGAGGAAGAAAACTAAGCATTAAGAACACATATAAGCAAATCCCTACACCACAAAATAGGGGGAAATAGAAGCAATTCATTAAAATATTCATTTTAAAATAATTGCTTGGACAGAGATGGCTCTCAGCTTTTTGCTGACTGACTATGTAGCAGGTGTTACATGAATGTGGTGGGAGGCACCAGCAGCTTGTGATTGGAGCCAAGAAGTTCCCAACGTCCTGCTGTGAGCTCCTTTCCTAAGATCAAGATCACAGACCAGCAGTAATAGAAGTCAGTGATGGGCTATTTTTTCTGCTCCATCATAGCAGGTATAACTTTTATGTTTACTGTGTAAATGTGGGCGTGCCCGACTTCATAACTTCACTGAAAACAGATGAACATTGGAGTTGGAAATCTGTCAGTTTCAAGAACTTTCACTTCATTCCATGGAAATGTTTGCCAACATGGGCACATTTGAAAAATGTTTTTTTCTAATGTGTGAACCTAAATATAATTTTGTAAGTGGGGCCATTATGTCCAGTGGCACACCACTTTTGAACATTTCATGAAGAAATATGGGGGGGGGGGGTCTTCTTTAAAATATATATTCTTCACATAATTGGTATAGAAAACCCTGGAAGGCATGACAGGGAGGAAGTCTGCAAAATGTGAGCTGACAGACCTATCTATAGAGCTGGTAGCTGTAATGGCAATGGGGCTGTGGGTCCTCTCCAGGTTTTATTCTAAACCTCAAAAGAGCTATCTGCTCCTTTAAAGTGAGAAATATCAATGTAGAGCATCTTTACTGTCCCACTAACATCAAAACCACTAGCGGCTACTGTGATTTTTTAAAAAGTGTTATGGACCAATGCCAATTCAGAGCACACCCACTGAAATGAAAATACCTTATTGGCTTTACTTAGTGAAAGAGTTGAATGGGATTTCACCCTACAGTCCTGTCATATCCTTTCTGTTCCTTGTCTCTCATTTCTCACTGAATCTCTTGTAGCAAATATATAAAAATTTCTTGTTCTTCATGTGGCTCTTTCTCTTTTTAGTAATAGCATAGTATTTATTTATTTATTGACCAATGTCTTGCCCCTTTTTCCCATTCTTATTTATTTATGCAAAGTGGGTAGCAGAAACCAGTAGTCAGATTTGAAAGAACAATAATCTACACCATAAACTAATATATGTAACCTAATTATGACAATTTATTTTTAAGTAGAAAAAATAATACCAAACAGCTAAAGAGATTAAAAAGCTTTCTGCAAAAGATTTGCCTGCACCCAGCTTCTTAGCAGCTTTCAAAACACAATCACAGTAGCTTCTTATTGGTGGAGAAGCTGGGTATCATCCTTGCAACAGAAATAGTTTGCTCTAGTTTACTCATATAAAGAGCCTCGGATGTTGTGTTTAGTGCAAAATTATTTCATGCCCAGTAAGTGACTTCATTTAAATTCAGGAGAACCAGATCAGGCATATGAAAACCATGGGGCAAGTTGAAAAGTCTTCCTGCATCGATGCAAGTTCTGTACAAATTAGTAATGAAACTTTGTCCTCATATTGGGAGAAAGATGGAATATAAATCAGATGTTTTAACACCTAAATTCAAGATCAGTCTTGATAGAGAAGAGGCTTAGTAAAGTGATCACAGTATATACAAGGCTGTTTTCAAGGATATACCTTAGTTGTTATACCATAGTTGTTTCAATCACTAAAACGTAACATCAGGTGTCTTAACTTTGTTTGAGGTGTTTACTGTGTATTTTATTGCAACTTGCTAGACCAATTTATTATGATGTAGTTCATGCTTCTGTGATGGTTTTGTATATTAAATAAATGCCGCAGCGAAAGGACAATTTTCCCCTGATGGTCACATGCAGGATAAGCTGTAGGTTCAGGCTGATACCTTCTGTAATACACAACTCAAGAGTCTAAAATGGAGAAGGGGGGATATAAAAGATCTTAACTACTGGTAGTAGACTTCCTACATCTGGAGACTTTCAGGCCGTCACCAGTATTGACAATCACAAAGTTGGAAGTCTGAAATGCACACCTTGAGCCAGCATTATCATGTGGCTTGCTTTTCTTTGGCACACATACTGACCCAGCTCCCACTCACAATGCAAGTGTTGTTACCTATCAGGCAGCTGGAGTTCATTAATATGATAGCAGGCAGAAGTTTATTTTTGACTTCCATGTTTGGGTATTTCTTGATCCACTAGGGAGTTCAGGTGAAGACTGTATCATTCTCATCCAGTCAGAATGTGTAACTGCTTTAACCCAGTTGAAAGTGAAAATTTATACACTTGATACTTATCCTTATGACTGTTGATTTTTAGATTTTGCTGACTGCAGTGTTCGATGTTGTAAGCTTAAATTCTGATTTGAAAACTGTCTTGAACTTGTTATTACTTTGTTTCAAGGGATTGCCTTAAACATCAATTATTTACAAAGAATTTCCTTGGTGGGTTAATGTTTACAGGATATTGCCAATAAAATCAGACTTCCCTTCTTAAAGTCTCTTAAAATACTACTTTCATGCAGGGGTATTTTACATATCAAAAGCTACCCAAGAACAAGAAAGGGGAAGGTAATTTGTATTTGTGAATGGGTTTGTTGTGAATATGATTTACGGACAACATTTTCAATTGTTATCATGCCCGTTTTGTATAATCAACCCTTGTTCCCTTGTGGGTTATACACATGCTATTCTGTAATGAGAAATTTGGCAGATCTCATCTCTTTAGTGCATCCTTAGTGCCCACCACGAGCTGAGGATCATGTTCTGCCTTGTTTACAGCTGACAGTGTTATTATTCTCATTAGGACTCTGCTTTCTTATCATATTGTTGTGTTGAGCGAGCCTTTTTCTCTCCGTTTGTATTTCCTGGCAGAGCTTTTCTTCCCTTATTGACAGTTTGTAAAAATATGCATTAATTTGGAGTTTAAAGCATGTATCATGGTGTCTCTTTGCTGTGTTTGCTTGAAGTTGATTAATGATAGAACCTCACTTGGGGTCGTCCTCTGGAGACTTGCCTCACAGGTTCTGCATGTTAACTAGAAAAGCAGAACACACAGTAACCGATGATTAGCCCAGCCTCCAGAAGCTCAGTGGGCTGATAAACCACTGTTTTGCTTTACAGATGCTTATTTCATTTATTTATCTGAAGATTGTATTAATCAAGCTAATGTGTCACTTGAGAGTATTTTCTCTAAATCCCATGAAGAAACCATAGGCAAGACTTTTTCTTCCCCATTGAAACACAGTGTTCTCAAGCACGTTGGCAGGTTTTCCCCCATTCTCTTTTTGCAGCCAAGTTAATAACTGCAGCGTGACTTATATTTGTGACAAAATAGAGGGGGTGTCTGTACTGTACTGTACTCCGCAATAATAAGGGAAAGGGAATTTTCAAACATCTTGAATCTTTTATCCTTTTTTATAATTGCATTTCTGCCAGCCATTATTACCATTTGGTTGAATAAAATGTACTTTAGGTCTTCATATATCTTAAAAAACAAATCTTAGTTTTTCTGGTAGATGACTGTTTTTGATAGGTGTTTATAATTATGTAATATGTGCTTTTATTTTTTTTAAATGAGAAAATGTTTTAATTGTTTGCAAACCTTTCTTACTCAAACAGCTAAGTTAATCCCTCGCCAAAACATCCTCTTCTTTGTATCTTTACAGGCACCCTGTGCATGTCAAAGAAGAACCGCTAGATCCAGATGAAAATGAAGGCCCACTATCATTAGTGACAACAGCCAATCACAGTCCAGAGTTTGATCACGACAGAGATTATGAAGATGAAAATGTAAATGAGGACATTGAATGAATATGTCTGTACTTGTGTCTCTGCAAATGAAGCTCACGGGGATGGAGTTTTAAAAAACGTACTTCAAAATTAGCTGTGAAATCTCTCCCCGTTATTGTACAGTCTGGAGGATACACTTGCTCCATGTTGACAGCTATGAAATATGTTAACTCTTAGTGCCATCACAAGTATCCCATTTGGGAGTATTTTTGATTTTTCTACTTTTTGTTGAAAAAAACAAAAACAAAACAAGGAATTTGTACTCTGTGCATTGGATGGACTTGTTTGGTACTTGGGATTCCCTCTCACAGTCGACATCAGTGTTGTAAATTCGTTCAACCGATTGATTTATACACACTTTGGCAGCAGACTTTGGACTGCAGTTCTTCCAAGTTTGGGACACTGAAGACATCAAGCTGAGCATGTACACATAAGTTGCATATCAACCCTTTCCCCAGATTTTAAGAATTCCAATGGACAACATATTTGCACAGTATCGCATGTTGTTATCACTGCCTTTACTTTTTTTCCTTTGATTCCTGTTGGGATGGGGAAGTCCTGATATGTATGTGTGTATGCGTGCATGCGTGGGAGTAGGGGTGCGTGTGTGCATACGGAAGAGGGATCAAAAGAACATTCTCCCAATTTTTGTAGTGTATAGCTTTGATTCCCCCCACCCGCCCCCTTCTCCTATGCCATTTTAAGTTCTGACCTCAGGCCTCAACTGGCCAAGGCCTTTTGAGGCTTAATGTTTTCTGTACTTTTGTGATGAATGTTAATAGGTGTGTTTATTATACAAAGATGAATGTCCTTCGAATTGTTTGTAGTTCTTTTTCTGCCATTCATTCCAGTTTCCTTTAGATGCCATCATATTCCATTTTGGGCTATTATGTCCCCTTCCCCCCTCTCCACAAGAAAAAGTTCTCAAATGCTGCTGTTCACCTGTGCAAAGTTATCTTCTAAAAGAAAAGAAAAAGAAAGACAGTACTGCAAGAGTGAGAATGAAAAGCAAACCAGCATAGAAGGAGTATAGACTATTGTTCACAATTCATTCCACAGAGCAGTATATATTGTCATCATGGTTCAAATGTTTGTTTCTCCGGTGTCTTGCTTGGTTGTTTTTTGTTTGTTTGTTTTGGTAGCAAACGTGCATATTTGGAAACGCATAATTTAATAGCGCGCACACACACATGAAGATACATGGTCCAACAGAGTTTATTTTTTTCTTTGCTACTTAGCAAACACTTTTGGGTCTTGGAATAGTTCCGAAATATTTACCCATCTCTGTTTTTTTTTTTTCAAATTTTACAAACAGACATTAAGTTTGGTGATTCAAAAAGTGTGAGGATTAATTGGTGGTATGTGTCTATTTGAATATATCATAGGTGCAGGATCCCACCCATTGGGCAATCAATAAGACTCATGTTAATATTTTTAACTGGGCAGACTCTCTTAATGCTGTTATGGTCATTACATTGTATCGCATTGACCCATATCAAAAATTAACAACCTGAGATCTGTGGGTGAATGCACTGTAGCAAATTGCAGTGTTCTTCACAACAAACGTGGGCAGATAGCTGTTATTAAAATATCGGTACCTCTTTATCACTGGACATCTACACACTGTCATTCTCCAACCACTTCTCTGTAACCCACTTATTTATGTCAAACTATAGCTTTTTGAGTTCAAAAGCTTTTCTAATCTTAATTTATATTCTGCTTTGTACCCTCCCCCCCTAAAATTACCAAAGATATTACACAAAGGTAAATTATGTTCTCTGTTATATGCTTTATCTTATGAAGCCAAATATCCTCTTATTGTTGATCAAAGGAGGTGTAAGAATTTAGAAGCAAGGGTCAAGATATGGGCTACGGCTAACCTGAGAAGTAAAACTGCTCCTTTATTAGAGTATAATTTAGAAGACCAAGTAGATGGCTGAACCAAAGTTGTTGTTTTAATTTTGTGTTCCTTTACAGTGACCAAATGTATTTCTGTAAAGAGGCAGCTTTTTTGAAAGGCTAAAACTAGGGAACAGTACTAAGTGAAGGGAGCAAATAAGGGCAGCATTTCATCTTGGAAAAAGTATGAGGATAGTCTGTTTTGCAGAAAACCTGGAGTATCCTACAAAAGGGCAATTACATAATATATAGAAGAGCTCTCACAACTTAAAACTGAACCATATTATAGTATCACAAAAAAGGGTTTATATGCTTTTGTTTGGCCTTACAAAACTATTCACTTTTGTTAAAAGCTTATAATGGCATTTTTTTTTCTTTTTTAAAAAAAATGAGTTTATCTGTGCACATGTTCTTAGAATGATTGTGATTGTTGTTCTGTTGGGATTGTCCCCTCTATGTATTTTGGTCAGCATCTTTCAAATAGAAGAACATTCCTATCCCCTTCAAAATGTTGGTACCATTCAAATCAGTGGGAGATTTGCCATTTACTACACTGGATTGAAATTGTTTTTGCTTTTTTGGGCTGGCATATATATTGAGATATATCGACTCATTCTAATTCCCTGAATTCTTTTCTTTTCTTTTTTTAAGGAGGACAGTCTGTGGTCACCAGAAACATTTTAAATCAAATTGTATTGAGGCAGCTCCATGATGCACAATGGATAGCTTGAAATGATCCCATCTAGCTATCATGTTTTTTTGTGCTCCAAAACTGAGTGGTTTTGCTGGTTAGCGTGGTATTCAGAAAGGGGATAAAAACCTGGTAGATTAGTTCATTCTCAGCATGTGTAGCTAGACATGAGTAAAGATAACAGCATGAGAAACTGTTAGTACGCATACCTCAGTTCAAACTGTTAGGGAATGAGTAAATAAAAAAAATTAAAACTACATTTCACTCAGTTGCACTTAGTTGTATGTCTTGCATGCATAGTCTAAAGACTGTAGCAAAATAATTTTTAAAAGAAAATTAAAAAATTAGACTTTCCATACTTTGCAGGTATCGCTGCCCTGCAGAAGAACCAAGAGAAAAATCTCAGGCTTTACATCAAGCAAACTTCGCTATTTTTTACAAATTTCTGATTCTGTGTCCCTTTGGATAATAACAATTGTTCCTATAGGGTGGGGTTTATTATGTTGTACATATATAGCCCAATGTGTCTCTGTGAACCTTTTTGTCTTTCAGCGGGTGGGGGAGGGCAGGGTGGCGGGGAAGGAAAAGGGCGGGAGGGAGAAGGTCCTTTTTTTAAAAAAAAGAAAATCGTTCCTGAAAAGGAATAAATGCATACCTGTTTGTCAAAACACCTTTTGCTTTTTGTGCAACTGCTTTATATTACCTATACTTTTAAAATGCTTTGAGAAAAAAATCCTACTGTATGTAATGGAATTGCAGAATATGCTGCACATGTATTTTGTTTAGTTATCCTTGCTTTAAGACTATTGGATGACATTTGCTGACCTGTGGGAGAAAATCCCAAACTCTTTGGTTTTGGCGGATTTTTGCCCCCTTTCAGTATCTAAAGTGTAACATAGTTGATCGATGATTTTTTTTAAAAAAATAATTCTGTTATGGATCAAATCATTTTTGTACAGTTTTTTTTTTGTGTGTTGCTGTTTTCTTTTTTAAAGTTTGTTTGGTTCCTTTTGTTTTTGAAATACTACTTTCCCTGGCCCTTCTGTTACCCCCTACCACTGCCTGCTTCTGGCTGTCTTACGGGAAAAAAAGAAAAAGAAAAAAAGTTTTAAAGATGTTTTCTCCTGCTGCAGTAAATACTTTGCATGATGAATTCCAAGGTCACACTTGCTCAAAGTTTATCAGTGAAGTAGTGATTAATAATGGAGAGTGTCAAAATTATTGAATTTTTGTATAAAAGAATACTTTACAAGGTGCCAAGATGTAAAGACAATTTGTTACATGTTTTTTTTAAAGAAAAGCGTACATTATGAAAGTAGTACCATGTATCAGGTGAACCTCCGTCAGGAATGAGTCAAAAAGTCTACTTTATCTACCCACAGAGCATTCTTTGCAACTCATCAGGCTCTCTTTGTTTGACTTGCTGTGAGTTCTGGTCACCTCTTGCCTGGTAGCGCAATGGGTTAAACCTTTGTGCTGAAAGGACTGAAGACCGACAGGTCGGAGGTTCAAATCCGGGGAGAGCGCAGATGAGCTCCCTATGTCAACTCCACTTCCCCATGCAGGGACATGAGAGAAGCCTCCCACAAGTATGGTAAAACATCAAAATATCCAGAGGTCCCCTAGGCAACGTCTCTCACACCAGAAACAACTTGCAATTTCTCAAGTCGCTTCTGAAACGAAAAAAAGTCTTGCTTTGAAGGAGGGAGCAAAGAGTCTTCCTTACCAAGTGAACTCTAAAGAGCCACTTCTTCTGCATTTGCAGATGCCAAATGGTGCTGACTGTCCATGCAGTTCATCCACACAAACTCAACAACAGGCTGCAGTGCATCTCCCTTAGCGGCCCCTTTTATCTAAATTAAGATCAAACCACAGACAGAAAACTAGAAGGGAATCCATTCTATTGATTCAAGCAAACTCAATTCAAATACTTTTAAAACCTACTGGATTTCTTCATTGGAGTCAAAGCAGAAGGGGAGGGAAAGAAGCAAGGCTTATGTTTAAAACGAAAACCCTTTCAGAGAACCCAACCAAACTAGCCATGGTTGGATAGTTAGGGTGGAAAAGTAACAGGGCAAGATGCGATTTGATGAATAATACAGATCATTACATATTTTATATATCAAAGTTTTAAAAGAACTAAATTATTGTAGCTTTCAGTATGCTGACGAGTTACATTCCTTATAGCATGGATAATACGTTTTAAACTTTTGGAAAGCTTTTGGTACCTTTTGGTTAACACAATTCAGATGGAATTTTTAGATGCCACAGAAGATATCTCTCAAATCCTAAGTCTTAAGAATCACATTTACAGACTATTCTACATTTTTCAATAAGCAAGCCCAGGGTAGGGAATGAAAAGAGAACTATCTCTTTCCCATCAGCCTTTATGAAAATGGTACAGTCCAGACTGTTAGCATGGTGCTTCATGTGTATGTGCTGCCAGCAAATGAGATTCTCCATTTGACTTTATTTTATTTTTTAGGCATACAAGAAACTCATTCCTTTCATCCACTGTATTTCCATCATTCCATGTCTGTTGATGCAGACAATAAAATGTTGTGTAGTCAGTACTTATTACTGACATTATAGCATTCTCTAATGCAATAAAAGTGCTGGTTGTTCACACTGGTGATAACATGTTGCCATGGGCTAAACGTTTTTGCTTTCCCTGCGTGCTGGTACTGCCCTTGAAACACTATGCATCCACCAAATTGTACACATGGAAATTCAGCATTTGCCATAAAGCCATCCATACTCTCACGGGAGTCAGAGGAGGAGGTTTTGTAGAAGCTATTGTCCTTCATCACAAGGTGTATAGTTTTAAAGGAAAGGAATTGAGCAAGTAAAAGGTGCCAGACTTTATCATGGGAGAGTATTGTAACTTAAATGGTAGATTTCTATCTGTTGAGAATGTACAGACCAAAACTTTATTTAGTCAGCAATTATATACACATTTACATTGCAGCAATCCCATTGAACAGAATTATATAAAATCTATGGGTGGTGTCTTGGAATTTTTACCCTAAAACCTGAAAATGTTCATAACTTCAAGGATCAGACATCAAATGTTTTAACATTTTCCAAAGCTTAACATCACAATTGTGCTTGGAATTGATGATACAGTAGAGTCTTGCATATCCAACCTTTGCTCATCCAACATTTGTATTATGCAATGCTGTCCTCCTGCTGCCCGGATCCACAGCTTTTTCAATACATTGCAATATTTTGGTGCTAAATTCATAAATACAGTAATTACTAGATAATGTTACTGTGTATTCAACTGCTTTTTCTGACAATTTGTTGTAAAACATGATGTTTGGTGCTAAATTTGTAAAATCATAATATAATTTGACATTTAATAGACTTTTCCTTAATCCCTCCTTATTATCCAACATTTTTGCTTATCCAATGTTCTGTTGACCCATTTATGTTGGATAAGCAAGACTCTACTGTATTAGCAAATCCCCCTGGGCTGCTTCCAGAGTTAGAGCTAAAATGTGGCTTCCTCACATGATAGACCACCTGAAGTTCTATGGGAAGAAAAGCTTCCAAACAGATCTAGGTAATATGTTGTCGAATGCTTTCGTAGCCGGAATCACTTAGATTCTGTGAGTTTTTCGGACTGTAAGGCCATCTTCCAGTAACATTATCTCCTGACGTTTAGCCTGTATCTGTGGCCAGCATGTTCAGAGGTCTGAAGATGCCAGCCACAGGTGTACACTAAACGTCAGGAGAAAATGCTACTGGAACATGGCCTTACGGCTCGAAAAAATCACAGCAACCCACAGATCTAGGTAACATTGGCAGATGGGATAGCAGACTCTTAAAATGACTGAACATTTGAATCTTTGGTGGCCCCTTCCACAGGTGATTGCTCACTTTAGTGTTCTGTGAATTGCAGCTGACACATTGATTGAGTTGAAGAAATAACTCAAATAGATTGAGTTGAAGAAAAAGAGGAAACGTCACACAATGAATTCGTATCTTATATCAGTAGGTGAAAGCAATGCACAACCTGAGTTGTAATATATAAATTAAAACATGCAGTGTTGGGCAACATTGAGACTGTGTACGCTGTTTTTAGGACACCTCTGTTGCAAAGTGAATCCTTATGGTTGAAGCAGAACCTATTTCCTATTGCAGTGGACCAAGCAATAGATGGGTCAAGAATTCTACATGTGCAAGGAACATAAAAAATAAAAACATTGACAATATGATGCTAAATCAATAGTGTGCTGGCAACTTTTGGGACTGCAGTGGAGACAGGATTACTCCTTCCAGTTAATGCTTCATTGACCCATTCAGCATTGAATCCTGCCCAGGTAATTTTGAAATAAGAGCAACATATTTAATTACATGTTTTCATACAGCACTCCTTGTCAGAACAGCTCTCCCATAAGCAAAAATTGGGGGTGTTATTCGTAGAACAACACCTTTTGGATCAAACTGGTTATTTCTCTGCCAACTCAATGTTACCCAATGCAAATAGAGTGGCTTCCCCCCTTCCAATTTATCCAACTTCTGATTATCTACGACTCCTTCAGAGTTCTTCACAGCCTATTCAGATAATGATGATAAAGAGTCATGCTGTGAGCTCACAGCAGTTCCATTGATTTCAATACCAATGGTCCTTCAGACAAAACTACAGACAAAGCCACAAGGGTAGGCATGATAGTACCTCGTCCTACCCTTGGAGAGTACTGGTGGGTTTTTTTTTTAAAGTTGGCTCTAGCACCCAAAACCAATCCTATAGAGTCTTGCAGCATCATTGTCTCAATAGCCAAATAGAGAAAGAAAGTCTGACCCTCCTACCTTCTCTCTTGAGTAAGCATACGTTTATTTTCTACATCAAGGAAAATAAAAATGTTTAATAACTAGCATTAGCAAGAACTAAAATTTCAGAGAAAAAAATCATGAATAATTCATTCAGATTTCACATCTGCAAGATTAGTCATCCAAATAAAATGCTAATGTCAAAAACATGCACCGTCTATAATATTCTCATCAAGCAATCTTTGTGCATATAATGATAAATGCTTGAATTAGTAGAAATGATTTTATAAAAATATTCTATCATAACATTAAATGGATGGGAAGAGTATGTTAATTCACATCAATGGTGTATATTGAACTGTTATTGATTTTTGATCAGTTAAGCATCAGTGATTTTATCAGCAGAAATTAATAAGTAATCTACCCATAGGAGTTTTAAAAGGCAGCGCCTTTGGAATTCCTTTAGAAACAATCAGACTTAAATTCCAGAAATGGTCCACACAAGAGAACATCCAATGAATCTACTCTAGTAAGTGAAAAGTTATGGTAATGTTATCAACACAGGCATGTATCATAGAACCCACTGTGCAACTTCACAAAATATTAGGTTTTATCACTGAAACCTCAGTAACTGGGATAGTCCTGACATGGCAACTCTACTAGGTAGAGTTGTGCACGGAATTAGTTCCTACCATTTATTTCATGTTTTCCATTTCTTCGGGAGCAAAAAAAAAAAAACGGGAAGTCCCCTCCCTGCAAAAAAAACCTGCTCAACACAACAACCTGCTTTCATCTGCAGCCAAACTGTCTCACATTGAAAAGAGTGCGTGTGTGGTGGCAGGGCAGGCCGGCAGGCCCAGAGCACACCTGCAGTTTATTTATTTATTTATTTATTTATTTACTATTCTTGTATACCGCTGTATCTCAAGCCCGAGGGCGACTC